GGCAGACCAGTCTTCAGGACGTGGTCAGAAACAGAGAAGTTGTGGCACATAAACTGTCTGGAGCTCCGTCCTGTACACCTAGCGCTTGAGTGCTTTCTCCCAAACATTCTCCACCATCACGTTCTCATCAGGACGCACAGCATGACAGTGGTAGCGTTTATAAATCACCAAGGGGGCGTGAGCTCGCGGCCGCTGCTGAGGCTGGCGAGAGACCTTCTTCTGTGGGCAGATCGACACCCCCTCTCCATCCGGGCAGTACATGTCCCCGGACGCCTGAATTACGGCGCGGATTTACTGTCGATGGGCGGGGTAATCCACGGGGAGTGGAGATTACGTCCTTTGACAGTCAATATGATTTGAAGTGTATTCGGCAGGGCGGAGCCGGATGTCTTCACATCAGTGGAGAACACTTACTGCCCGCTGTTTTATTCACTGACACACTCTCCCCTGAGAGTGGATGCACTAGCTCACAGCTTGCCGAAAGTACACAAGTATGCTTTTCCTCCAGTGAAACTTCTGCCTCGCATGCTTTGCAAGATCAGAGAGGAAAGGGAATCTGTTCTGTTAGTGGCACCGAAATGGCCCAATCAGCCATGGTTCCCAGAACTGGTGGAGATGCTAGAAGCCCTCCGTGGATATCCCAGTGAAGAGAGACCTCTTCTCTCAATGGAGCCATGGAGCCTTCATGTCTGGCCACTCGATAGAGCTTGCCAGTAACAGATGCACTTCCTCAGCACGTGTTGAACACTATCTCTGAGGCTAGGGCTCCTTCCACTAGACGTCTTTACTAGGGATGCGCCGATCCGATATTCATATCGGGTATCGGCTCCGATAGTGCCATTTTTCTCGGATCGGGTATCGGGCAGAGAGAACCGATCCAAATCCAATTATTTTTTTTATTTTTTTTTTAGTATTTTTTTTTTAGATTGTGCGAATTATTCTGTGTTACTTCTGAAGCCATATGATAGCTTAATGTGAGCTACATATGAATATTTAAGTCCTTACATTAAAGTTCACACAAACTCTTTTCTCCGCTGTGGCTGTACAGTCATTCGTTCAGCCTTTAAACCCTGGTCGCGTTCGGTTACAGCAGTTAGCTCGGTAAAGCTCTCTCCAACATCATTCTGTGTTCCCATTATACTTGATTTGTACATACATGTCTATGATTTTGCAAAAAGGACTTTATCTTCTTGCCGGAGTTTAATGTTGTTTTGTTACTTGCTACCGGATGTCTGTGAGAACAAAACACAGGCGTAGAAAAGACTATAAATTGTGTTTAACATGCACAGTAACTGAAATTTAAAACTGTTAAAAGAAAGGTTCAATAACTGTTGCACAGATATAATACACTACACATCAATTTCTCTTCCCTTTTTGCTTTGCAGTTTTTAACACTAAGCGCTTAATGTGCGCACATTGTAAGTGCTTCATGCTCATAGACTGTCAACCCTCTACATTGCAAGTAAATCACTCGCATATGCGACTAAATCTTCACTCTGGGCGACTAAATGATGTCTAATATTAGCCAATGGCTAATCAATTCTCAGATTTTACTTGCCAGTGTGTGAGTTGGATGCTGAGTATATGATTAGCACAGATATATTTTCACTCACAGAACACTGACTGAACGCTTCAGAGTTTCACTCTCCGTCAAGCGATC